ATAAAAAATTCGACTACCAGAGAGTTATTGGAGGCAGTGGCGTAGCGTGGATGTCAGCCGCCCTGGGCAAAGGAAAATTTCGCCGCCCCGTTATTTAGGTATCTCAATTTAAAAAACTAAAATTCAGTTTCGTCACAGAATAAGTAATGAAAAATTCCGTGCTAGTATTGCCACCTTTTTTAAAATCGCTGACCCAGACGGCAGGTGAGGTTTGTTCGAACAGAAGTTCCTGACACATGCGTATGTCATTTTGCAATGCGAAGAATAATGTGCAGTGCATGCCGGTTCAGTTAGCGATTAGGGAGAATTGGGTAGGAGTAACGTAAGTAACCTAGATGACTTAGCTGTATTGGACATTGGAGGTGTATATGAATACGAATGATTCGTACAAGGAAAAAAAAAGGCCAACAGGTTGTGCCCGAAAACGCGGACTGTCTGGATGATGGCACTTTTCGTGCTCATCTTAATCGGTCCGAATCGTAGGTGCGACGAAAATATATGATAAAATGGTTCAAGTTTTTACAAGATATTAGTATTATTTATTGTGAAATTTTGCCGCCCCCTAAAAAGTGCCACCCGGAGCGGGCCGCCCCTGCCGCCCCCACTACGCTACGCCACTGATTGGAGCTTGGAGTTTTACATACCAGGACAAACATGTATACACCGCAGCAAAATGGACGAATAGAAAGGGAGATGAGCACCATATTGGAATCAGCTGGATCTGTTTTACATACCAGGAACCTAAGCGAAAATCTTTGGGCTAAAGCTATTAACTACGCTGTGTTCATCATTAATCAAACAGGAAAGAGCTCTATAGATGATAAAAGTCCTGCTGAACTTTGGTTTGGACGTATGGTAAACATCTCGAAATTGAAAAGTTTCGGCTGCGAGTGTTATATATTGATTGAAGATCATAAAAGGAGAAAGATGAAGAGAAAGTCTGTGAAAGGAATCTTTGTCGGATATGATCTCGATTTACCCTGTTATAAAGTCTACTTGTCAGATGAGAAGGAGGTCGTCTGCTCTACTATGTGATTTTCAATGAAACTAAAGGAAGCACTGCCGAAGTCAAGACCTACATGAAGGAAAAGGAAACAGAAGAGAAGATAGAAGAGTCCGAAACTGAAAACGAAACCGTAGAAGATTCAGATGATAGATGTTCACAGAATCATTCACGACACATCACTCCAGAAAGGACCAGAACCGCCAGAGGAAATTCAACGAAGTTTACGAGATCGTCGAAAACTAAAACCTCCAACCAGATTCAGCGATTATGAGATGGGACTTATTCACAACTATGCTATGATAGGAGAAACCGAGAATATTTCAGTTAAGGAGGCTTTGGAGGATAAAGGATATACAAGGCTGTGCGGAACGAGTACGACAGCCTCAAATTGAAGACTTGGAGCCTGGTGGAACCTCCAAAATATGCGAGACCTCTGACATGTCGATGGGTGTTACGTCGTAAACAGGACGGCAGAATGAAAGCTAGACTTGTTGTAAGGGGATTCGAGCAAAGACAGGGCATCGATTATTCAGATACCTTCAGTCCTGTAGCCAGACACTCATCTATCAGACTCGTGTTCAGTCACGCAGCATCCAGCAAAATGAAAGTAACAGTTTTTGATGTCAAGACAGCTTACCTACACGCCAATCTCAAAGAAGAGAGGTTTGGCCTTGTGGTGCGTACTCACAATACACCACCCCACGAGAGTCGAAAAAACTGTCAACATGACCTTGATATTGCTGCGGACCTGCCGCGTTTTTTTTGGCCTCGAGGGTCGTCCCCGAAAGCCTGCTGAATCTTGCGAATGGTTTACGCTTGGGTATCGCCAAGGTTTTTGGCAAAATTTGATGTAATATCGCTGCTCACGTTGTTCAGTCATTTTCCAACCTAGTGGAATCCGACGAGAGCTCACTACATGTCCTCACTCATAGGCCGACTGCCAACGACTGACGCTTCCTGCAGGCGGGAAAAAATTCAGGGCTGTGCATGATTGTCCCCTCCACAACTCCACCGAAAGAGGCCTTCCGCGCATCATTGGTTTACCCGGAAAAAATAAAAGTCCGATACTTTTTGAACAGACCTCGTACCAGCCAGAACATATAAACCAGCCAGAATGATTCTCTGATGGGACAAAAAAGGTTTGCAAGCTTGAAAAGAGTCTGTAGGGTTTAAAGCAAGCCGCCAAAGATTGGAACGACGAAATCTCTTCACTTTTTCTTACGATAGGATTCGTTAATACCGACGATGACCCGTGCGTTTATTATAACAACGACAAAAGTGTGATAATAGTACTGTATTGGTCGTAGACGAGGGGTTCATTGCCGCCCAAAACGAAGAGGATATTTTCAAGATTCTGAGGTTACTGAATGACAAGTTTGAAATTACTTATAAAAGAATTTTACAATTACGTATGACATACTTAGGTATGAAGATCAAAGTGTCGCCTGAGGGAATTTTTGTGAGTCAACCTGATTACACAGAAAGATCTTGAAACGATTTAGGTATGATCGAGTGAACGCCGTGAATACACCGATGGAGCCAAGAATGAAAAAGAATTCTGAAAACCTTGTCAATGACCAGCCACTAGAAAAACAAAATCGTTATCTCGAAGTCATCGGAAGCTTACTTTATTTAGCAACAATCTCTCGTCCAGATATAAGCTATGCCGTCAATTACCTGAGTAGATTCAGTAATCGACCCTTAACAAATCACTGGAAGATGATTAAAAGAATTTTTCAGTATCTGGGAGGAACTACACATTTTGGAATATGTTTTAACCGAGATCCGAAAATTGATAGCATATACAGATGCGGATTACGGAGGAGACGCCAATAGTCTACATTCTACGAGTGGAGTTCTTATCATGAGGGGCGGTCCAATTGTATGGTATTCATGAAAGCAGCGTCTCATGGCGAACTCAATCGTTGAAGCCGAGTACCGTGCAGCAGTTTCATCTATCGACTATATCTGCTGGGTACGAAGAACAGGAATTGAATTGAGATTATTAAAGAATGATGAACCTACCCTGTTACTTGTCGACAATCAGTCGACAATTCACATGCTTATTAAGCCGATGGCCGAGCGGTCAAGGTGAATCCGGACGAGTCGAAAAATTCTCGGGAATTTTTCGGGTGTGGTCCGTCCTGGTATATCAGACATCGTCCCTCACCACCCTGCCGCCCCATTCTGGGCCTGTCCGAACCCATGATAGCTGCTTAAAGAGGCCCTCTTAGTGCCCACAGGTGAAAAGGGTTTTAAAAAAATCTCCATTCCATCTCCAAGTCGAAAGTAGAGGGTGGGAATGATTGGGATGGGAACGCCTAAATTTCCTAAATTCGACTCTGTTTTGGATCCTCCTCGAATTTTATTAAATTATAATTTATCATATATGCAGGAACGGCAAACCTAAGTGAACCTGCCTAAAAAAAGCATTATGTTTCATGATTCGTGAATTTTAAAGATGAAGTAGAGCTTAAATTTCGAAAAATGCTGAAGATGAAGCGTAGAATTAAGCACACGATCTTATCTTGGAAAATGTATGTTAATTTGATGTAATTTACGAATTGGCACTTGCGGGGCTATTTGGGAATGTTTATAGTTCCGTAGCAACCCCTTGATGCCAAAGCAATCAGTTTTGTTACAAAAATAAATATAATAGTGCATATCGTATGCAGTGCCGGCCCGAGACAAGTTTTAGGATGGAGCGAGATCCTATTATGTCGCCCCCTCTTGATTGCCCCTAATTTATACCATTTAATTATCTTTACCACTGAGGCGCCCCCTAGGACTTAGCGCCTGGAGCGGCTGCTCCGTTCTCCCTAGTAGGGCCGGCTCTGATCGTATGACTTCAATTAGACTAGAATTACTTGCATAGTTACATAATCTTAAGTAATTTAGTAACATTCTCAAATATATATATATAGAGAGAGAGAGAGTGAGAGAGAAAGAAACAAAAATCCTTAGTCCCCGAATCTGCCTTGAGCAGCATCCGTATTCTCACAATCGTAGATACGCCACCGGATATGTTATACCCTAGACAAGAGGGGCAACTTATCTAAGATCACTAATTAAGTTGCTTTTATTCGTATTAGTGACACACGTGCACAGGGGGAAATTCCTCCCGGGTTTCCTTCCTAGGAAACTGGCCCTTATTTAGGTGTTACTAACGTAAAAAAAACCTGGAAAACTCACGTAGCGAGGTGCAAACCCATGACCAACTACCAATGTTCAGTTGTTTTATAAACTCTGCCACTGATGGGGCCCTAATGAATTTTTATAATCTATTGCTATAATCGAGAAATAATAAACATTTTTACTAAGCTTCAGAACAAAATGGAAGAAAATCAATAATTAATGATATTTACGAGTCAGCAATTACATATTTTTCTCCAGGAAAGAAGAGACATAGCGTTTTAACACAGAACTTCGTGTTTTTTTTTTTTTTTTTTTGGTTTTGTTTTTTGCATCATCTGAATGAAGACCTGAACCTTTAACAATCATTTAATGGAATTAAGAAGGATATTTTCCTTTATAGCAAAGAAAACCTTTTCATTGTTTCGAACATATCTTGTTAATAAAGAATTCAAATATTGTTAAGTCGTCGCTGAAATTTTCATATTCAAATTATGCATCGGTAAAATTTTATAAAATAAAATTATATTACAACAAAAACAATAAAATTTTAATTATCAACAAAATTTCTAAATTATAATATAATTTATAATACATCAGATTACTGTATAATATAGAAATTTTCGATCTCTATTAAACTTTTATATCAGATTAAATTTATAATCTATTAATTATTTTACTCAATTAACTTTTTTAAAAAAAGCAAAAGTTATTAAATTTAACCTCAATAATTAATAATAACAAAATTTATCGCTTCCTTCTCGAATTACATTAAATACACTAAGATAATTGTTTATATTAATTTACCATTCACATCTGGCAACAATGATAATTTCCGGTAGAGAATTATGGGGAATTTCTCTCAAAGCATCATGGTATATGAGATTTTAATGGCGAAGCGGAACAGTAGAAAGAAAGACATACATTGATTAAAATTTCAATTATAACGACTTCAATTCAATTAATAATGTAAAATTATTAATACTTTTATGAAACTTGTAACATCACAGCGATGTCTATATTTTTATGTTTTAATATAAATCAATCCCAGGACTTGTGACCAATTTTGTACGAACTGAGATTTTAGCCTTATAGCCTTTAAGGGTGAGTTTAATATTAGAAGTTTCTTTAACTTAAATAATTAAATTTGATATAAAATGAACAAATGTTCGATTAATAAAGTAGATAAATCTAAGTAACAGATGTATTTGCATTTCAATTTAATTCTTGTAAATTACATGAAATCGATGATTTTTATGTCAATATATAATGATCAGGTAGAGGTTACATATAGGTAAATGGTGTATATACATGTATATGGATCATTTAACTAAATGTAACTCTTGCAATTGATTATCAAAATTGATATGCAAATATTTCTGATTGGCATAAGAAACTCAAACTCAAATATGAAATTAGAAATACTGAATTAATTAAGAAGTAAGTCTGCATAAAATAGTAATAATTAAATATTTTATGCATGAATGTTTTATGTGTAATAGTTAAGTTTGTCGGTTAAAGTTAATTATAAAACACATTTTGTAATGGTAATTAGTAAATACATCTGTTATATTAATTTGCATTTATCAGTTTTGGCCTACTGAAAAGTAGTAATAAAAGTAGCTTTTATTTATTTTTTATTTTAATTATAATTGTGATTAAAATAAATTCTTGCTTACTGTCTTTTTTATATTTATCTTGACTATTTATAGATTTGATATTGTTTGTTTCTGTTTTCAAGTTAATTGATGGATGATGTATTATGAAAAATGAAACAAATCATTGTGTTTCTACATAAATATTGGATTTTAAAGTAAGTTATAGTTATTTTGTATTATTTTTTACTTTTATTTGATTGTAATGCTATGTGCAAGGATGTTAAGAAGAGGAGGAAGCTGGGGATTTTTCTCCTGGAAAAAAACTTAGTGGTTTCTGCCCCCTATAAATTAATATTTTTTTATTAACAAAAAGGAAAACCTTTAAGACCACCTTTTATTAATAAAGAAGCATTCTATATATTACATTTGTTAAAATAAAAAGGCAAAAGAGAGTCTGATCTATCCCAAGGCCCCACACAAGCTCACTACAGTCTGATGCTAAGTATTGTGAGTTTTAACCAATCAAGTATACTATGTTTTAAGTTCTTTTATATATAGTTGTAATATATTTTGCATGAGGTAGTATCAGTAGGAATTTAACAGAACATAAATGCCAAATACAGTATTTTTACTTTTTAAAAATAAAAAAATGATTAAATGCAATAAATTTATCAATTGTATTTAATAATAAAGTGCTAAGAATTATGCTTATTCATCCACTTGTTGAACTGTTATAAAATTCTTAGTTCAAAGCACAAATATGTTTTGTAAATAAACTATATAGTCCTATTCAATTAAAAACATTTCTGAATATGTGTACATCTTTGAAAAATTTGAATAACTGTTTATAGATAATCAGAGAGAAACTTACAGATCATCAAGAAATGCTTATTAATATACATTGAGATAAATGTATACTTTGTTGTTCAAAACAATCTTTTTGATTTTACTAAGTAATTTAAAGAGAGAGAATTAAAAACATATAAATACTTTTATATTTGTATAATAAATTATTTCCTTTTTATTTTTGTTATTTGCTATTTTAAATATTTATATGTATGATTTTCAAAGGAATCTTTTTCACTAACTTTATAGAATTGCTTAATGGTACCAGTACGCTAATATGTAAATAATATATAAAGCACATGAAAAAGTCTCCAAAGTTCAAATTCCTGTTGTTTATATATAAATAATAATAAATATATAGGAAAATTTTATTCTTTACTGAAGTATATAAGAGATTTGGCATCATTTAACTATAATTTTTGAATTATGTCAAAATTTTATTTATAAATTTTTGCTTTTCTTTTATTCTTATATATGTAATTATAATACTATATTAACAAAAGTGTACTGACTATTTTACAAAAACTTTAAATACTACACAAACTAGTATTACTGACATTTAATTCAAACAATATTATTATTTAAGTAAGCATTTTTGTGTGGTTAGAAGAAATTGTGAAATAATATTAAAATATTCTATTTAAGAATAAAATTTTTTAATAATTAAACTTGATGATTTATAAGTTAACATATATATTTTATGAGGAAAAACTAAATATGTTGTTAGTTATGCAATTATTGTCTAATAATTTTATATATTATCATCATTTCTTGGTTAAATGGGATTGGATATTTTTCTTCTAGCCTTCCAGTCTATCTCTAACATATCTTTCCAACCCCTATCAAGATTTTTTATCTTTTTTAAATCTTGTATGTAAGTTCCTAATTCTTAATGAATGAAAATTTATATTTTATATCTATAAATCTCCAGTAGTATTATCAGTGGCATAGCGTGGTGGGCAAGGGGGTGTATCATGCACCAGGCCCCACTCGCAGAGCGCCCAAGTGGTCTCCAAGACAAACTATATGTGTTTCTGGAGGAGAAGGGGGGTGCCAATAAAGTGTTGTTACCCAGGTGCCAGTTATGTTTGCTACACCACTGGTATTATTGAATTCTGTTTCAGTACATTGTTTTTAGTAATAACTTTTTTATGCAAACTTCTTGTTTTTGCAGCTTATAATAAACAATGACCGATTTTTAATAAAATTAAATTATGTTAGAAAATAAAAGAAAATCATGAAAAATATTATAATATTTGGTAATATCACACTATCCATTATGGCTAACGTGCACCACACATTGTTGCATGCTGTTTTGACTCTACTTGAACTGCACTTTCAAAAATAATTACAGTTTGCTGAGAGAAACTTTTTAAAGTTAAAAACATTCTATAATTGGTTTTGTTCATCATAAATTGAAAAATTGTTCGATCTTGATGAAGGTTGATTAATTATTGAAAACATTAGATTACATTAATAAAATAGAATGCGCATGTTAAAGGTTGGTAAACTGTAATTATGCTGTTTTGAGTTGGAGTTTTCCATGTCAATGTTTAAACTGTTGTAAAATGAAAATTACACGGTGCTATAAAAGTGTAATAATTGTAGTTACATTATTTGTAGCATTAAGTTTCAAACATAAAACAAGTAAACAACTATAACTAAAAATAATTTGTGAAATGACAGGAAAACTGCAAAATTTAAAAAAAGTAAAATAAACATCAACTTGATAAACAGTACAGAGTGGGAAAGAAAGTCACTTAACATCCCTGCTACAGAATATAGAATGTACAGTACAGTACATTGAGCACAATATGTAATGTGCATAACTCTGTAACTGAGGTATGTCAAGAAAATCTTTCAGCAATCAATTCCTTCTGAAATTCTGACACTAAATGGTGTGTCACATGACATCTTTGACAGTTTTGGAGTTGCATTCAATATGCACAGCCACCATCAAGATGGCGACTATGTGTGTAACATGTGTAACACACATCAATCTGTTTCTTCCTTGGTCTAATGTGTTCCTGACATGAGAAAATTAACTTTGGGTTGGTTGGTTTGTTGGTGTTTTATGGCACAAGGGCCACATAGGCCAAGCTGCACTATTAACTTTGGGTACATTCTATATTTTATAGTAGGGTGTTAAATGACTTTCTTTTCCACCCTGTATTTAAACAAAATAAAAAATAATCCACTATATCTTATTAAAAATGGAAGCATAAAGTAAAGTTTCTACTACCTTTTGAAATGGTAATGTTTTCCTTGATTTCCTTCTGATTACAAAGGCATTCCAATGCATTTTCCTTGTATTTGTTTTCTTTATATACATGTGTGAAAATGAACAAATTTGTTTGAATGTAGTCAAAATGAAATCACAGTTGTGAACAAAACAGAAAGCCTTTGTTATGCAAAGCTTTAAATCCAAACAAAGTGGCATAAGAGAAAATATTTCAAGAATTTGTGAAATTTCTTGAAAATGCTTTATAATGAATAAAACAAGGTGTTTTAGAGTTTCATAAACATAACCTACAATGCCTATACACATGGTCCTGCATATACCTAATTTAAATAAATGGATGTAAGCTGAGAAGTGTGCATATGCAACTTAACCATACTTTAAATTTCAGCTAGCCTAATAATAAAAAATAAACTAATGATGCTGAAATAAATTTTATTTTTACATCATTTACAAAAGAAACCTTTAGTTACATATGAATTTTTTCTCCTAATTTACATAAATCACATATTACTTTTAAAAAAGTAAAACATTTTAACTTACATTAATTTCAGAAAAAATAAGTGCCTCGTGATGATTCAAAACAACATTATGTAAACTTACTCTACACTTAGTGTCATAAAAAAAATGCTTCTGCTCAATTCACAAGTGCTTCACCAATAAACTTACTACCTTAATGTAAAACAAATGGGATAACATGTTGACGCTTAAACCTATTTCATGACTGTTAATGTCAGTTAAAATCCTAAATGGAAAATTTAATAAATTCAGCATATTAATACTATACAAAACCAACATACTCCAATAGCAAGCAAGCCTGTTTGACTAATAACTATTGATATACTTACTCAAATATATTACAAACATGTTGAAAAGTTTTTTAAACAGAAAAAGACTAAAAAACATTAGGAATTTTAACCAGTTACAATATAGGGAAGAGGGAGAAAAATGTAAACTTATTGATGGATTTTCTTTGGTATTAACATAAATTAAATATTATCCTTTTTAAAAATAGAAATAAAAGATGTAATTTCCATTGACATGTAGAAATTATAGCAAATTGATACAAAATTGCCTAAACATTGCTCAAATTAAAACTGTCATAAACTGTTTGCTGAACATCCACATATTTACAATACCATCCAACTAAGCACTAGTGGAAAACAATGTAATGAATTACAATGCTTACCTTACAGTGATAACTGGGAGATAAATTACACAATTGAAACATTTGCTGGCCTAGAAAACACAAAAGAAAATCTGGGAGTTGCATGCTAATACTTCAGCAATCTTATTATGAAACCATTGCATCTTGTGTTGGCCATAATGGTAATGTAGTAGATTACCTAATATTTCTGTAGATTCCTAATATATTAAACACCTAATATATTAAATTAGTTTAAAAGTTAATTTTTCACAAAAAATGACTCCTAGGTCATTGTAAGAATGAATATAATTTGCTGCACATAGATATAAAAGATATAATAATTTGGAGTTCTTAATAGTTAATAACACATGGATACTGTTTTGGATAAATTTTAAGATTTAAAGACTTAAGGATGACTAAAATGTTGAGATAAGTAGAAGTTAAAAGAGAAATCAAGATAGAAATAGAAAAAGATGGATCAAGAACAGTTTCTTGTGTGAAAATGGAAAATTTAAATTTGTATTGAAGTTAAAATCAAATATTGATAGTATTGCAAATTTATTTAAAAGTGTTTTGATAATAGGATTCACTGTCATTTAATACAGTAGAGCGTCATTTATCCAAAAGTCGGTTATCTGAAACGTCAGTTATCTGAAAGAATTCCAGTTGGCAAATTTAAATTTTCGCTAGTGCTGTGGCGCTGCAATCTTTGGCTATGTCTTGGCTACTCAAATATTTTACGTTTTTGATACTAAATTAACTTCTGAAGTATAATTTTTTATTGTTTTTATATTTTTCAATATATTTATTTTGTTTGTACAAAATGAAGAAATAATTTTTAACGATACAATAGCCACGATTATTATTTTAAAAAGTTTATGTTAGGCTTAACATCGATGAAAATTCAACACAAAGCAACACGCAATGGAGAAAAATTTCAGGATGGGATAGGTTAATATATTTTTTCGTACATAATTAGTTAT